CTTACTTGGAAATTTAGTTACAAGTTTCACTGGCATGGATTATAGAGTTGGAGTTTTATTTTTAAGAATTTACAAGCTGGCCGGGCGGTGGTGGCGCACGCCTTTAATCCCAGCACTTGGGAGGCAGAGGCAGGCGGATTTCTGAGTTCGAGAGTTCGAGGCTAGCCTGGTCTACAGAGTGAGTTCCAGGACAGCCAGGGCTACACAGAGAAGCCCTGTCTCGAAAAACCAAACCAAACCAAAGAATTTACAAGCTGACTTCCACTTAAATTTATAACTCTTTATTTTATTGAAATGTATGATTAACTGAAGAAGAGATTCTTGGGAGTACGTTGTCATAACATTAAAGAGATTTCCTTTAAAGTTTCCTAAACTAAATTACTGTTGGATGTTGATCTGCATATTTCTGTATATTTGTCATGACAGTGCTTGCATCCTATTTGGTGTATTGAACAAATAAAATTTCCAATTTAGAAAAAAATAAAAAGAATGGCTACTCCAGCTTGTTTCTTGGGACCATTTGCTTGGAAAATTGTTTTCCATCCTTTTACTCTGAGGTAGTGTCTGTCTTTGTCACCGAGGTGTGTTTCCTGTATGCAGCAAAATTCTGGGTCCTGTTTATGTATCCAGTCTGATAGTCTCCTTCTTTTTTATTGGGGAGTTGAGTCCATTGATGTTAAGAGATATTAAGGAAAAATGATTGTTGCTTCCTGTTATTTTTGTTATTGGATGTGGAATTATGTTTTTTTAGCTATCTTCTTTTGGGGTTGTTGGAAGATTTCTTGCTTTTTCTAGGCTGTAGTTTCCCTCCTTGTTTTGGAGCTTTCCACCAATTATCCTTTGAAGTGCTGGATTTGTGGGAAGATATTGTGTACATTTGGTTTTGTCATGGAATATCTTGGTTTCTCCATCTATGGTAATTGAGAGTTTTTCTGGGTATAGTAGTCTGAGCTAGCATTTGTGTTCTCTTAGGGTCTGTATGATATCTGTCCAGGCTCTTCTGGCTTTTACAGTCTCTGGTGAGAAGTCTGGTGTAATTCTTATAGGTCTGCCTTTATATGTTACTTTACTTTTTTCCCTTACTGCTTCTAGTTTTTGTTGTTGTTGTTGTTGTTCTGTGCATTTGATGTTTTGATTATTATGTGACGGGAGGAATTTCTTTTCTGGTCTAGTCTATTTCGGGTTCTGTAGGCTTCTTGTATGTTCATGGACATCTCTTTCTTTAGGTTAAGGAAGTTTTTCTCTATAATTTCGTTGAAGATGTTTATTGGCCCTTTAAGTTGGGAATCTTCACTCTCATCTATACCTATTATCCTTAGGTTTGATCTTCTCATTGTGTCCTGGATTTCCTGGATGTTTTGGGTTAGTAGTGTTTTGAATTTTGCATTTTCCTTGACAGTTGTGTCAATGTTTTTCATGCTATCTTCTGCACATGAGATTCTCTCTTCTATGTCTTGTATTCTGTTGGTGATGCTTGCATCTATGACTCCTGATTTCTTTTCTAGGTTTTCTATCTCCAGGGTAGTCTCCCTTTGAGATTTCTTTATTGTTTCTACTTCCATTTTTAGATCTTGGGTGGTTTTGTTTAATTATTTCACCAATTTGGTTGTGTTTTCTTGAAGTTCTTTAAGGGATTTTTCTGTTTCCTCTTTAAGCGCTTCTCCCTGTTTACCTGTGTTCTCCTGTACTTCCTTAACGGAGATACTTGTGTTCTTTTTAAAGTCCTTTATCATCATCATGAGAAGTGATTTTAATTCTGAATCTTGCTTTTTCGGTGTGATGAAGTGTCCAGGGCTTGCTACGGTGGAAGATCTGGGTTCTGATAATGCCAGGTAACTTTGGTTTCTGTTGCTTATGTTCTTGTACTTGCCTTTCGCCATCTTGTTAACGATAGTGCTACCTGCACTTACTGTGTCTGGCTGGAGCCTGTCTTTCCAGTTATCTTGCTTGTGTCAGAACTCCTCAGAGTCCAGATGTCTCTGTGATCCTGTGATCCTGAGCTCCTGGGTGGAAGAACTGCTATGACTCAGGCTGCCTCTAGGATCCTTAAATCCTGCAGCTCTGAGTGAAATAGTTCCTTCTCTGCTTTGAGTACACTGGTTTCTCTAGGATGACTCAGGATATGGTATCTTCACAGGAGTAGACCAGCTATGTGTCTGTTCCAGCCAAAAGGACCAATAATTTTTAAATAGTGTGTATTCGCTGTAAAATGATTCATTTTATTGTGGCATTTTTTTATACATGTGCATCGTGGGCATTGGTAGTATTCAATCCCTATTACCCTCTTATGTCCTTTCCTGCCTTCTTCATGCTTTCCTTCCTTTCTACAACATGTCATGTGTGTGTGTGTGTGTGTGTGTGTGTGTGTCTGTGTCTGTGTCTGTGTGTGTGTAGTATATGTGTATGTATATGTATATATGATGTATGTGTATGTATATGTGTATGTATATGTATAAAGAGGGGTGTTTCTATAGCCCTGCCTGGAATTCACCATGTAGAGCAAGATGGCCTTTAACTCACAGAGATAATCCTGCCTCAGCCTCCTGGGTGCTGAGATTAAAGAAGCACACCACCACCTCCACCCTTCATATGTTATTGTTATTAAATCTAGATTCCATAAACAAGGGAAAATATATGAATAACTGTCTTTCTGAGGCTGGTTTACGTCACTTTACATGCTGGTTTCTGGTTTTATCCATTTTTCTTCAAATAATGTAATTTCATCCTGTTTTCATGGCCAATCAAAACTCCATACCACATTTTCTTTATTCCCTCCCCATTCATCTGCTAATGCATATCTAGGCTGATTTTGTAATCTGGTTGTTGTGGGTAGTGCTACAATAACCATGACTGTGTGGGGGTATATCTGTTGTATAACCAAAACCACTTGTCTCAATAGACAATATCTCTAATTCAGAATATCTTTTCACCCTTCATCAAGTAAGCGCAGAAAATGGCTTGGATATGTGTTATCATGTACACATACATTTGTTAATCTAATTATCTAACGATTAAACTGTTTCTTGTGGTAGTTGAACGTTTTTAAACAAAGCAGTTGGTTTATCTAGAAAACAGTGCAGAAAATAAAATAATTTTCATAAACTCTTAATACCTTAAGGGGTAGCCAAGTCACCCTGTGTTCTGGAGTCCTGGCTTTGTTGCTCTCCATTTTGGAAACAGGAAACAAGCACAGAATGGATGTTGCAGGGTATCTGTTGGTCTTACTTACTATTGTCACTTAATCACAATCAGATTCAAACAGCATCATGGGTTGTAATTTCTTCTGAGAATTCTGTACTCAGAACAATAGTGAGAGTGACTTGTCAAAACAGAAATCATAAATACAGGTCCTTTGTGATCATGATGAATTAAAAATCAAAGAAAGGGAGACAGTTTGTTTTCGAAAGAAGCCATCTGTTTATTTGTATACAGAAGTTGTATTCAAATTTAAGGAAATTAATCAAGTAAAAGCAGCAGAATTTGTAACACAGTAAACAAGAGTGCTGAAGGAGTAAACATTGATAAAAACCAAGGACCTAATGAGGTTTTCAAGTTCCTTAGTTTAATCTTCCCTGGTCCCTGGGAGACCTCTCTGGTGTGTGGACATGCACGACTTACTTTGCATTGATTGTTGCTACTTCAGAGCTCAGAGCATGAATTGGCAACAAGCACTAAATTAATGAATTAGCTGTTGTCAGTACTACAACTCGGCCAGCATGATCCTTTGTGTGAGACACCTCTCTGGTCCTTAGTTAACAGGCATTAGATTTCATTTAAAAAAAAAAAAAATCTGGCCAAGATCCCTAAATGTGCTGAGAATGTGGCTCAGTGCTATAAGGTATGCAAAGTCATGGGTTCAAAGTCAATAGGTTCAAAACACAAAAGGAGAGAAGTTAAACAAAGAAAAAAAATACAATTTCAAACACCTGTAGACTTTGGTGTATGTGAAGACTCTTTGCTGACAAGTCAAATGTCAGTGAATAGAGCCTGGTCATTTGACTCTACTCTCCCAAGTTTGGTGTGTAGGTTTATCATTTGAGGCAACATTTTAGACATCCCTTGCTATTACCTTCCTGTAGCAATACATTAATAAGTTTTCAGTACTGTTTGCATCCTGTGGCAGAAATTTTTAGAATCCTTTCTGCTCATAAATATTTTCAGTTGACTCTGATAGGCTTTACCAGCAGCTGACTGAGACAGATGCAGATACTTACAGCCAAACATTGGACTAAGGTCAGATACCCCTATAGAAGAGTTAAGGGAAGGACTGAAAGAGCTGTAGAGGATTGCAACCCTATAGGAAGAATAACAGTATTAACTAATCCATACCTCTCAGAGCTACCAGAGACTAAGCCACCAACCAAAGAGCATATATGGGCTGGTCCTTGGCCCCCCAGCACATATGTAACAGAGGACTGCCTTGTTTAGCCTCAGTGGGAGAGGCTGTGCCTAATTCTATAGAAGCTAAGTGCCCCAAGGAAGAGGCATGCTCATGGAGGTGAGGTGGGGGTGGGCAGGTAGGGGAGCACCTTCTCAGAAGCAGGGGGTGTAGGATGGGGGGAAAAATTTGAGGAGAAAGGACCGGGAAAGGGGCAATATTTGGAATGTAAATAAATAAAATAATTTAATAAAAAAAGGAAGGAGGGAAGGAAGGAAGGAAGGAAGGAAGGAAGGAAGGAAGGAAGGAAGGAAGGAAGGAATAAAATAATTTAATAAAAAAAGTAAGGAGGGAAGGAGGGAGGGAGGGATGGGGAGGGAGGGGGATGGAGGGAAGGTGGAAGGAAGATCACTAACCCAAATATGTCTCTTCTGTTCTAGGTTCTACACTGCCACATAAACTGTGTTGTTATTTGATTTGTGGAGGGCTAGGGAAGAGTTTGATGGTGCTGGAGATTGAATGTAGGGTTTTACTTATGTATGCAAGAAGGGTGCTTTACTACCGAGCTGCCTCCACAGCCCTAATTGTTTCCTTTCAAATTCCAGATCCAACAAAGGTGATGGTTCCCCCTTCCAGCATGGATGTCACCGTGGGAGAAAGCATTGTTCTTCCATGCCAGGTGACACATGATCACTCCTTGGACATTGTGTTTACTTGGACATTTAATGGACACTTGATAGACTTCGACAAAGATGGAGACCACTTTGAAAGAGTTGGAGGGGTAAGTATTAATGTCATATTATCCATAGGAAACAATATAGCAAGGGTTCTGCAAACTGACCCAAATTAATGTGTTTGGATTTACTTGGGAACAAACGTAAAGTCATTGTTGGAGCATCTTATTTCACGGAACACATGGCTAATTCCTATTCTTTTCTGTGTCACTTATTAAGTAAATGATGTGATATATAGCATGCATAGCAAACCTGATGTCAAGTTAGTTGTTTGCTACTGTGTGTGAAGAAGAAAACTGAGGTTCATAGGAGTTATATAAAATGCCTTTTCTCCAGATCTGCTAAATGAAATGCCTTAGTTTTGAACCTCACAACCCAAGTTCTACTCCCATATCATGTAATATACCACCAAAGAGTTACTGGTGTATCTTAACGATCATTTCCTTGTGTGACTTAGGCTGCTATTGTATTCCTCTGTGCTCCTCTGGGAGACTCAACATCATAAAGTTGGTATTTGCTCCCTTGATTCTGAAAATACACCAAAGTGATTTATCATCTCCATGGAGTCTGAATCCAAATGCTTCAATTTTTGAAATGCCTTACTTTTCAGGACAATATATATTATCATTGAATATGTGCCAAGATAATGTTAAATCTAGAAACAATTTGTGTCGATCACAAACATTTTCCACAATTATTTTTCTGCATTATCGCAGCTCTGCATTCCCATTGGTAATGAATATTCACTCTGATGACCACTTTCTTGGAAGGACAACCAGAAAGTACCAGGGTATAAAACTGAGACTATAATTTGAATAGCTCTTTCCTCCCTTAACTACCATAGAAATATGATTTACTGATTTGCCCATCTCATCCCCTGTGCGCCCCTTTAGGTAGATGTTCTGAAATTAACAATCTATGGGATATATTGGGAATATATTTTCAATATAACTATTGTAATAATTTTGCCCATTACATGCATGCTTAGTTTGGTAGAGTTTGACTTGCACAACACTAAAAGAGATTTGAATGACTATTCTATCAATTCCCCCTAAGGATGATATCTAAGTAATATCACTTTGGATACACAGGAGAGAAGTTAATTCATTACACCAGAGCTGTCTCTGGTTTGGGTGGATTCTCTCTTGGAATATTGGTTGAGTAAAGCTGGATGAGATCACTACTATTAAGTATTCTGGACCTCTTTTATGTGGCCCAGCTTAGTGACTGTCTTAATTTGGCTTTTATTACTGTGAAGAGACACCATGACCAAGGCAACTGTTATAAAGGGCATTGAAGAAAGCATGGCAGCCTACAGGCAGACATGCATGGTTGAGAGTTCTACATCTTGATCTGAAGGCATCAAGAAGTAGACTCTCTTCTGCAGACAGCAAGGAGGAGGCTTTCTTCTACACAGGGCAGAACTTGAGCACTAAGAGCCTCAAAACCCACCTACACTGTGACACATTTCCTCCAAAAAGGCCACACCTATCCTATAAGGTGCCACTTCCCATGGGCCAATAATGTTCAAACCACCATAGTGAGAGAGGTTCTACTTCATTAAAACATTGATGACATCGAATACCTTAAAGTCTAAAAATGCACTTAGCCCCATACTTACCATGAAAAAAATATAGTTAAAACTCTAATGGCTGGATTCTCTGAGAGAAGAGTAATATTAATTGTAATAACAGGGCAGTGTAAGTTGATAAAACCCCTTATCAACTAAACTAAAATAGTTGTTTTTCCCATTAAAACCAACTTCATGGACAAAATCATATAAAAATTAAGATTTATGAGAATTTCATGATCAGTAGTCAATTAGCATGGATTGATGTTGAGGAATTAAAAAAAAAATCCCTGGCCAATCAGACCTAGTAGCCATTATACACCATTTCAGCTGAGCTGCAAAGGAAACATCTTAATGAAGCAAAGAACCGAGGAATACTTATCATATACAGAAGGACTCTCTTTCAATCATCTCTAGTAGGACAAACCTGTAATACCAGCATTCAGGAAGCAGAAGCAGAAGGATCTGAGTTTGTAATAGGCTTGGGTTATGTTGTGGAGTATAGGTCATCCTTCTTTCAGTAGGAAGACCTTGACTCAATGATGATGATGATGATGATGATAGCTTTTATTTTCTTTCCATATAAGAAATACCTCTCTCCTCTCTGCTGCTACAAATGAAGAGAGGGAAGTAGGTTAGTCACCAGAGTCACCCATGGTGATAATTTTAGGATTTCACAGTTGAGGAGGAAACCGTGTACCATTCTGAACTCAGCCCCATTTACACATTTGTGCTTCCCACGTCAGCATAATGAAACAATGCTGGGCAGATTCAGCCGACTGGGTTTTGAGGAAAGCTGTTGTTTTGTTTTTGAAATTGTTATCATTATTCTCTGATGTCCTCCAGTGCTCTTTCAGAAACAGAACAGGGACCCCAGTTGGAAGAGGGGTTAAATACGCTGCTACTCTTTTGTTCTGTTTGGTAGGAAGATAAGTGTAGTCCTCAGGAACAGTTTGATCTCTCTAGAGGAGGGAACAACCTCACTCCGTTAAACTCTTACTTCAATCCTTTAAGTTTTTTTTTCAATTTGATCTTAAAGCTATAAATCTCACCAAAGTTTAAGAATAGCTAAGACACACTCTTCGTCATAGAACCACAAAATTGTCTTAATAGGTTGCTATGTGCTAAAGTAGGCTACAGTAAATTTCTTGGACATTCACCTTTTAGTTAATAGAATGAACAACTGAGATAGGGTAAAAATATTTCCTTAATTCCAATACTGTTTCTACCTTAAAAATCAACATATATTCTGCCTTAAAGTCAATATGGTGAATTTTTTATTAGTCATTTTATTTGTTTACATTTCAAATGTTATCTCCTGTCCTGGTCTCCCCTCCAAGAAATCCCCCATCCCCTCTCCTCCCTTTTGCCTCTAAGAGGGTGCTTACCTATCCATCTACCTGCTCCCACCTCACCCTTTAACATCCCCCTTCTCTGGGGCATGAAGCCTCCAAAGGACCAAGGGCCTCCCCTCCCACTGATGCCAGATGAGGCAATCCTCTGCTACATATGTAGCGGGAGCCATGGACCAGCCCATATATACTCTTTGGTTGGTGGTTTAGTCCCTGGAAGCTCTGAGGTGTCCAGCTAATTGGTGCTATTGTCCTTCCTATAGGATTGCAATCCCTTTCAACTCCTTCAGCCCTTCCCCTAACTCTTCCACTGGGGTCCCCAGGCTCAGTCCAGTGGTTGGCTGTATCTGCATCTGTCTTAGGTCCCAGCAGAGCCTGTCAGAGGATAGCCATACCAAGCCCCTGTCTGGAAGCACATCTTGGGTTTCATCCACAGACACCAATATGGTGATTTTTAATAATGATCTTTAAATGGTGAGGGATGGAGAGATGGTTCAGTAGTTAAGAGCAGTGGCTGCTCTTCCAGAGGACCCAGGTTCAATTTCCAGTACCTACATAGCAGCTTACAACTGTCTGTAACTCCTGTCCCAGGGGATCTGACACTCTTACACGGATATACATGTAGTCAAATCAACAATGTACATAAACAGCAACCAAATCAATATGGCTTCTACCTTGAAATCAATATGGCTTCCATTTTAAAGTATGTATTCCAACTACCTTAAAATCACTCCTCTGCAAACATTTCCTTTATGGGGCCTACTTTTTATTTGAGTCAGTACTTAAAGGCCCATCATGTGAACTATTTTAGGTTCAGAATGCTGATTCCCTTTACCTTAAAGGTACCTAAACATTTATCAATCATCTCCTTACTATATGTTAGCCCCTGGATGCTCACAAAAACCCTATGAATTAGGTTAGTAATTATTTTCCCATTTTTTTATACTGAGATGTGATCAGTATATAGTGGAGTTGGGTGAGAACATAGGGTTATAAATAAAAGAACTTTCAGATTAAAAAAAATATCTGAGCTCTTCTTGAATTAGACTTAAGGCCTTTACATGATTATCTCACAAAGAAAATTGATCATGGCCATCAATAAGACAAGTTTAAATTTACTCTATGCTTCATAGTTTGTGAACAGATTTCACATAGATATCCAGACTCATTTGATTCTCACAACATCGCACAGTAGGGGAAGTATCCTTCTTTGAAAGGTCAATAAACTGAGAGGCAGACAGATTAAGAGACTTAGATGAAATCCCATTGTAGGCATGGGCCCCAAACAATTAAGTCTCCAAGCTGAGGCTCAGCCGCCATACTCCTATCTTTCTTCTTCTGATCCCAGTTGCAACAATTGGCCCTCCTGACTTCTTCTTTGTTCCTAGTAAATATGAATGTGACCTGTTTTACTGAAACAAAAGAAGAAACTAAGGACTTGTTGCTTTCAAATAGAGATAAGTTCTTCCCTGGAGGGAAGTATATAACTACTATCAATAACAAGGAATGAGGCTGGTCTGCTGAACCTGGGGACCTAAATTCAATCCCTGGAACTCATAGAAAACTCAGGCATGGTGGCCCATGCTTGGAATCGCAATCTGAGGAGACAGAAACAGGCACATTCCGTTGGCTGCTCTACCATCCAGCCTCATCTACTTAGCAAGTTTTAGGCCAGTAAGAGACCCTGTGTCAAATGACAATGAGGACAATGCTTAACAAATGACAAGTGAGTACTCTTCTCCACATGCACATACCACATACATGTACCAGCATACACACAAACATGTATAGACCTTACATATATACATATACACAGAAAACAACAGAGATCAGAACTGTCTTTTGCTGCATACATGGCTTCCAGAAAGTTGCCTAGCCATTTTGTGTCAGAGTTTTCTCATCTGAAAATAAGCTAACAAGACTACTTGCCCCACACAGAACATGTTGGAATTGAGTGTGCTAGCATAACTAGAGCACTTGGAACGTCCTTGGTGTATACAAAATCCTACGGAGAGTCACTCTTTGGAGAAATAGCAACTTCAATGTCCGTGTCAACTTCTGGCTCTGTAGTTTGAATTCAGAATGAAGAGAGCATTTCTAGTCTAACCCGTGAAGTGGTCACATCCTTACACTCAAAGCCTCTCAGTATCAAGGCTGTGAAACCAAACTCCAGAGTAGAACAGTCTTGTAGAGACATTACTTTGTATTTATAAAAAGTGTTTTTCTGGTGAGCAGTGTAGAAGTGGATGCCGGGCACATAGGCATCTACACTAGGATGTAATTAGTCCTATTCATCTGCTAATCAAACATGCATTTGGCATTTGGAAAACAAATTAGCACTATTCCACACTAGATGATTCAAGATTTCCTTAGAGAGTCTGGCCTTCATAATCCTTTAATTCAAACCTGAGAGCAATCAAAATGCTGGCTGCAAGACAGGGTTCTGCCGAAAAATGTAGATGCCTCTAAATGGAGGTTCGCCTCCTTTTTCCAAATATAGAATTTCAAAGTCTCAGAATGCTAGTGCAGGCAATAGGCTGAGGAGAACCCATAAGTCTCCATCAAAAGCCACATTGTGTAACTTTGAGTGATGCCAGCAGGGTAGCGGACTGATCCAGACACCTGAGCCCCAGTGGAAGATAAGCTCTCTGACAACATTGGTGTTCTTATCTCTCAGGCTGGCTCACATAGTTCTAATAGCCATGGCATGCATCACTAATGTTCTCATCAGCCGGTGTAAAATAAATCCATTAGTCATAGTGTCCTTCATGTGATAATGATATTTAGGGCTCATTAAAAAGTAATTGTAGCCACTTTCCTCTACTTTATCAGCAGGATTCAGCTGGTGATTTGATGATCCGAAACATCCAACTGAAGCATGCTGGGAAATATGTCTGCATGGTCCAAACAAGTGTGGACAAACTCTCTGCTGCTGCGGACCTGATTGTAAGAGGTATTTGACTTTTATTTTTATTTCTTATTGCTTACTTTTTGCCCTTTCAATATTTATATGGTATGTAGTCTACCACAGCAACGTAAAACCTCAGTGGTTTTGAATTATGTTAAAATATCATAAGCTAACCATAGTGCACAGTGGTTAACAGACTACAGAAATTTTCTGAACATGTATTTTTCATGAAAGAAATGGATAACCAGAAAGTTCACTGAGAAAGTCCAGTTCTCATGCTGAATTGACTGCCCCAGTTATGACTACTGAGTTGACAGGTGTTTTAGAATAACTTTAGATTAACAAAACCAATTAGTTAAAAAAGTAATTCGACTAGCCCTTTTCTGTTTCATCTGGACTGAACCACATTAGTGTTTTAAGCTAGTATTGTAACAGGGGCCTAAGTAAACTCATTTTCCCCTAAAATTATTAAGGTTGTGTTTACTACTCTGGAGGTAGTCGGATCTGAGAAACTGGAGCTGACAAATGAGGTAGACCAAAGGTCTCATGCAATAGCCAACTGTATTTAGTGCATCAGACAACTTATATTCTGAGGGTTAAGAAAGATCACTTAAATAAAGTTCTCATGGGTTCAAATTGTATTCAATCAGAAGGACAAGTCACATATGGCAAAAACATGTTTTCCATAGAAGCATATAAACATTTAATTGAATAACCCCACAAGCAATAATGAGTAATCTGAAGTAAACTCATTCCTATACACTACACCTAGGAGGAGCAGGAAAACACATTCCAAGAACGATTTTGTGTTTTGAAGAATCTGAGGTCACAAGACTCTTTTCTTGTATTTTTGGAGAGTTCTCACAAGCACCCAGCATTCTCTTTAAACAATTCCATTCCTGGTCCATTCTCCAAGAGGACTCCCTTGGTTTTAAAATATGACTTGATGAGGAAACAAACACTTGCTTGGAATGTAATGATTAGGAGAGCACTTCCATACAGAACATCGACCTTGAGGAGACTCTTAGTACTAACTTAAACTGTGTAGCTATGGCTACCCTAAATGAGTCCACCAGCTGGAGAAAATTGCAGGCTTCAAATCAATTTATAAAAGAAGTTTAAGGTTTTTAAGATTTTTTTTTAAAGAGAAGCTTGCTTCAAATTCACAATCCTCTTGCCTTACCCTCTTTGAGTGCTGAAGTTACAGATGTGTGCCACTACACCTAACGAACAGCAAAAAGAAAATTGTTGTTGTGAGTTGTCATCTGCATGCAGTACTCTTGGAGACCAGAAGAGGGTGGGAGATCTCAGTGATTCCCCAGGAGTGACAGATAGTTTGTAAATTAAGATAAGGATGCTGCGATTTGAGCATAGGTCCTTCAGAAGAGCAGCCAGTGTTCTTAACCATTGAACCATTTCTAACTCATCAAAAGACAAAAATCAATGAAAATTAAAAGCTCTGTGAAACTGTACCCAACAGTTTTTTGTTTGTTTGTTTGTTTGTTTGTTTGTTTGTCTTTTAAGTCTTAAACTTGCAATCAGGCTGAAGGTATAACTGCACGCTAAAACATTTTGCCCAGTATGCATTAGAGCCTTGGGCTCCACAGCTAACTCTGCTAAACAAAAAACCAAACAAACAAAAACCAACTTGGAGCATCAAGATAATCTCAGGCCTCAAAACTCATTAATCAGAATTCTTAACTGTTGATGATGGGGATTTTTGGCCGGCCACCTGAGCCTAAAATACAAATCCAGGCTCAGAATTGGAGGCAGGGTGAATCTGAGTGCACAGGGAATGAGCTATTTTGAGAATCAATACAAAGTATTGCTGTATGCCCTGAGCAGATGTGAGGGGTAAATGCATAGGAATTATCAACTTAATTGTCAAGAGAGGTTAAAGAAATACTGCATTCCCATTATGGCTGTTTTAGCTACCTGTTAATTGCCTTAAAAAGAACGTGATTCATAAAGTTAAAGGCCAGATAAAAAAAATCAAATATTATATTTTCAACTTAGGTAGATCTGCCCACAGAATAATTTATAGAAATGTGTTTATTTCCATTTTAAAAACACACCAGAGCTGATCTACTCTCCCCTTAGGGACAAAGGAATTCTGTTGCTGGTAATTTATCCTCTACTTAATTAGGATAATGTTCAGATCAGCAGTTTAAAAACCAATAAATTAGACTAATAAATATTTAAATCAGTAGTACTTGAAGTTCTTAAATGATATTGTATACTTCATTTCCCAGAAAATAGCATTGCATACCAAAAGGAATTTGCAAACGCAGTCTAAAAGAAACTCTAGCCTAATCAGTTAATAAGGCCAATAAATTAATATGACACTTAAAGCCACAATCTTTCATCTTATCTCCTCCTGCTCTGTCCTTGCATCTTTCATCCACATTGCAGTGAGGAGACAGAAATGTATTCCACTGCCCTTAAGAGGTTTTTATATTTAGAATAAGTGTGGGTTTGCATGTTGACTCTGGAACCTTTAATTCCCTGATCCCTGCTTTACTTAATCTGCAACTGTTTCATGGCCATCAGCAAGGCTCCCTTCCCAGAGCAAGAGGCAGACACCAGCATCAAAATAGTTGTCCTTGTGCTTTGACGAAAACATCTTCTGTTTTGTTCAGTGGACATTTTGTTGTTGCTGTTGTCATTGTAGTTGTTGTTGAAAGAGGGGTCCAATTTTCCTACAACAAAGTAAACAGTCCCTAAGAGCACAGCAATGCACTGGTAGGGATGGTGACAGGAAGATAAAGGATTACAGGGTCCCCAAAAGCATCTTCCTCTCTCCAGTGCCAGACCCTTATCACCCCTTCATTTGCTTCCTACACAGTGGTCACAAAGGGACTCAGATAACTCTTATTGATTTAATTCTTTGAGCAGTTTAAAGGGAACACTTTTCTATTTGTGGGAGATTCTAAAGTCTCTTGAACAACATTCATAAAGAAAAAGGGTAGAAATACCAGGAGGAGAAAGCTGGTCAGATACAAAGGACCATAGATTGTCTGTTGGACTTTGCCTGGTTATTAGGAGTAAAGACCAAAGGTCACCTCAGCTCTGTTTAGATGGCATTAGACTGACTTGCTGAAATGTCACCATGGAAAATTAATCAGTTCCAACATACACATTTGCAGGCATTTCATTCAGGAGTGGGGAGAAGATAAATTTAGCCTCACCTGTGAGTCTATAAAAGTGATTTTTAAAAAAGCAGAGAGGATGGAGGGTATTGTATAAAGGTGAAGGAGATTTCCGAACAGAATCTTACCTGGGGAATTTCCATTATCTTTCCCTTACTCTATTAGAGGTGGCCTTTTTATCTCATCCCTGCGATACATCCTAGTAATCTTTTGAGAATATATTTGATTGCTAATTGGGGACCAGAAAAACTTCTTGGGAATCTCTTCTTAATGTCTGCCCAACAAATAAGGGTTTATTTCCGAATATGCTCATCATCACCTTCCATCCCAAGGTGATAAATTGATATCTGAGCTACATTTTTAAAAACACATTTAACCATCTGGCCACAGCTTCTAATATTGACAACTAGAAAAGTTCTGGGTCTTTCCTCTGAAAGACCTGTTGATGTTTCCCTCCTAATTGTTTTTCTATCCCTCTGTGTTTGATCTCCAGGCCACTATTTAAATAGGATTTCTTCCCTTTTCAATTGTTTAAGTACACAGAAGTAGAGAAGTAATAACCATCAGGAGGATAAGTAGAAAAATACAGGTATGACTTATAGAAACTAACATCCCAAGGGATATTAGACTCCATCCAAGTTTTGAAATTACTGCAAAGAGGAGGATGGTCTTGTGACTCTTGAGAAGTGGCCATTTTTACAGTAGTTCTTTTGCTTGAAAGCACATATAGCTTCTGAATCCAGTAGAGATGGCAAATGGTGCCCCAACATTCTCTCCCAACATCAGGACATTCCATTGTAATTCTTTCTTTGCCTATTTGTGTTTCCCACTATATTCTGTGAGCCTCTGCAAGGAAGTAACATGTGTCAGCTCATTGCTATAGTTTCAAAGTTAAACTAGGTTCTTGTTACCCAGTAGATTTTTTAAAATAAATTATGGAAAGGACATGTAGGTAGTTAAACAAATAATTGAGTGACTCAGTACCCCATTTAAGCAAGTAGGTTATATACTTGGACTTTTGAGTATGCTGTCCAATTCTGAATGCCTTGCCTTCTCCCAGGTCCTCCAGGTCCTCCTGAGGATGTGACCATAGATGAAATCACAGACACCACTGCTCAGCTTTCTTGGAGACCTGGACCTGACAACCACAGCCCCATCACCATGTATGTCATCCAAGCTAGGACTCCATTCTCCGTGGGCTGGCAAGCAGTCAGTACAGGTACCATATTGCACGCCGGGTGCTGTTGTCTATCGGAGACTTCTAAAATGAAGTGTGAATGAAATATGGAAGAAGCTAGGCCACCTAGGTCAATACAGTTGCAAATGATACATTTCATTACACTTGCATCTCCCAGACATGAGCCAGCTCTACTGTGATGTCTTTAATGTTTTCCTCCCTCCACACTAACTTACACTAGTGTCTCTGGACCTGATCACCAGCATCTATTGACTGATTGGTGTCCTGTGCTGGGTACTTTTATTTCCTTAACAAACTTCAAACTATTTATAAAAATATATGATTTACCTAAAATGAACTCCATTCCACAGTGATTTGACATTGGAAAGTAGTGGAAAATGCAAGCCTACAATCACAGTCTTTGCAAGGTTCATGGACAGTTGTCCAAAATATAATAGAATATAATATCTGAGGACTGTGTGCAGCCTTTTGTCTTGCTCCTTCCACATGTACTTGTATTAATTTAGAGATGATGAGGCATGAAAATGTTTTAATCAGTTTCACAAACTCTACTCTGTGTTTTCTCCTTTTTAGCTTCTGGGTTAGAATCTGGGTTCTTGGGAGGAACGGTTTAAGAGGGATAAAGATTTGTTTTGGTTCATGGTTTCCAAGATTTTTGTCAAAGAATGGCTGGCTTCAATGCTTGGGGCCTAAAGCCAGCCTGAATATTGTGGTGGTGAGAACATGATATCTCATAGGTGGAAATTTTGTGATATTTGAGAAACATGAGTGTCAGGAAGGAGTCAAAGATAGGATAATCTTCAAAGGATTACCCCAGTGACATATCACCTCCTAAGATTTTGTCACTTCCCAAACTACCACCAGTAGTGTATGTCAAGCTTTTATCATGTGGCCTTTTGAGGGAGTTTCCAAGTTCAAACTATAACACTATTGTAACTATAATTAGTGGCACATGGTTATTGAAATGAAGTAATTCTCATACACTCTTTGTTACACCAGTTCACTCAAATCAGACACTAGTGGCTGATACTATAAGACACAAAGTCTTCAAGGGTCAAAGGTGTTTCAATAGATAATTCTCAGGTCACATGTTCTTCTGCATTTACTATATAATGCTAGGTCTATATATAATCCTTACAGCTATTCTAGCTGTAAAGTAAAATTATTGTATTCACTCTAAAAGTTTGTTATCATTCCTCTTTAACAGATGAGGAAAATGAAGTTAAACAGAGTTCTGCTGGTTAGCATAGAAAAATAATGATCCAGTTTCCTTATCTTTCTTCCTAAAGTACCTCTTTGAATCCACAGAAAGTCTATGTTTACAGACATGAAACCAATTCTAAGACATGATAAACCAAAGGAATTTGTTGGAGGGGGAGGCAGTTAATCAAAATATATATGAGGCCCTTAAAGATTAACGCAAATATTATATTATAAAATTGGATTGATGACATGATTTATATAAGTTGCATAAAATTGTACCAAACATTTGTTTCTCCCTCAAGACATCAAGGCTGCACAGCAGTCCCTTGAGACTAAAGGAGTGTACATCTTGCTTGCAGGAACTTTTGTTTGTCTAATTTCTACCTCAAATGTTATCTTAGTAAAAAAATTAAATATTGGCAGGTTTTTGGATTGGTAAAAGGATTAAGACCTATAAGCAGTGACAATAAAGTTTTACCAAAAGAAATATAGCATTAATATGAGTGAGCAAAGAAAGATAAAAAATATTGCTACTGCCGATCCACTGATAGGAACAACAATGTTATGATTTGAACATAAAATGTCCCCAACAGAGTCATACAATGAAAGCTTTGTCCTAAGCCACTGGCACAATTTTGGAAGGGAATGAAAACTTAGGAAGTGAGTCCAGCTGGAGGTGGTATGCCTTTGGGGTACTCTTTGAAGAGTATCCTATCCTTGACCCCTTCCTGTTTCTCATTTCCAAGATACCATGTTTCTAGATCTGAGATAGCATGTTCCCACTACCATGCCTCATGCATTCTGTCACAAGCATTAAAGCCTGTCAACCTTTGACCAACAACTCAAATTCCATGAGCACAAAGAAATCCTTATCCCTCTTGAGCTTTTTCTCTTTTTTTTTTTTTTTTTGAGTATTTGTCAAAATGACAAAAGGGCCTAACACAGAAACAGAAAAGGGAAAAGAGAGCACAGACTAGAATTTGTGAATTTGATGTAAAAACATGTTCGTATGTCTTCATCACTATACTAGTAGGATAACTATAATGCATTCCCTGGAAGTGGTGGTGGTGGTGATAGTGTTGGTAGATGTTCCGATAATCACCTCTACATTTCGTAGGCCTGAGTGGATTCTCTTAAACCCTCTCACCTGTCTTTTAATATCTTCCAGTTCCAGAACTTGTTGATGGGAAGACATTTACAGCAACTGTGGTGGGTTTGAATCCCTGGGTTGAATATGAATTCCGCACTGTTGCAGCTAATGTGATTGGCATTGGGGAACCCAGCCGACCCTCAGAGAAACGGAGAACAGAAGAGGCTCGTGAGTACCACACAAGATATGCATTGTCTGTTCCGGCAGCTCCCACTCCTTAAGGCAGTGGTTCTCAACCTGGGGGTGCAATGACACTTTCACAGGGATCACCAAAGACTATTGGAAAAGACAGATATTAACAGTATATTTCACAACAGTAGGAAAATTACAGTTATGAAGTAGCAACAAAAAAACCCACAATTTTATAGTTGGGGATCACCGCAACATGAGGAACTGTATTAAATGGTCGTAGCATTAGGAAGGTTAAGAACCACTGTCTTAAGGAGAAATCTTGACTTTCTCCTGCTCATTGCCTTCAATGAGCTCTATATTTACATAGATTTTCCCTTAAAGTATCATAATGATAATACACCAGGCCAGGAGAATCTCAACCTTGTGGGTAGTGAGCTTTAATCAAGTTCTTAATCTTCTTTATTGGAGCCTTGCGGTAGAACCCAAAACTCGATACCTCCAAAGTCAACTCTCTCTTCTTTTGTTCATGTGTCAGAAAAGAAAAACAAAAACAAAAAGAAATCACAGATGGCCAGAGAATATTTCCCCAGAAATCTTCGCTAGAATATTCTTAGGATGCAAACCATTGCCACAAGTGAAGAATGAGAGTAACCTGCACACAGCTTGTTTGATGAACGTATTGTACATCCAGCTGGGGCAGATTACGCTCTTGTCAACCAGGGAATCCTGTTGTAGGGCCTCTGTTCAGCTCCCAGCCATGAAAATAAGATTGATTTGTAAAAGGATAGCAAGATCCTAAGCAGATGAGCAATTTCACCTTATTCTTGGAATTGATGAAAAAAAAAATCCATGTATTGCTGCCTTTAATCAAGGGCATGTACTGACTGGCCAGTTGCAGTCCTCAGCTAGGTATTTAAAGAATCTGCCTGGAGTCCTTCATTAAGATGATAGCATAACTAACCTAGGCTTTCTTCCCACATCTCCAAATCTGAAACTCAAGTCTGCCCTGTCATCCTGAGAAGGAAGTGAGTCTGATTTCCCCTCTTTTACAGAGAACACTGGGGATCAGAGAGGTTAAGCACAGTGAGCCAGGGGTCAACCTAAGTCCACCACTTCCTTCAACAGCCAGCTCAAAGCTCACCTTCTTCTGAGAAGCCATTAGCCCAGCGCTCCTCTGAGCATCCTGCTACTCCAGAACACCACTGCTCTTCTCCATTCTGTCTGCGACATCCCTGGGTGTTGTCCAAGTTTCTCTGTGATATTCTGCATGTGTTCTCACCCTCCCACTAGATTGTAAGCTCCATGGGGGCATAGTTTGTCCTGTCTTTTCCTTGTGTTACCACCACATGGCTAATAAATGTCTAACCAAGCAAGAGAACAGATTCCTCAGTCCTTTCTTCCTCTGTGATCTCGTAGGTCTTTAGGGATGGAGCTAAACAAATGATCAGTGGTACCTGGTAATGTGTATACCCCATTGATCCAGAAACAGGTAATTAAGAGCTATTTCCTTGGGAGATTTTGCTTCTGTAAGCCAGTACAGTGCTCCCCTTGTGGATGTCATTTCTGATATCAAAAAACAAACAGACATATGCCCAAATATTCAGTAACAGTGAAGTATCCCATCTAGGTAAACTTCCTAGCCTCCAATTGCCATTAGCACTTGAAATAACTTGGTTTCTGTTTTATCTCCTACAGTCCCTGAAGTCACCCCGGCTAATGTCAGTGGCGGTGGAGGAAGCAAATCTGAACTGGTTATAACCTGGGAGGTAAATCCATTACAGAACCAAAAGGACATGAATTTGTCTGAGCTGTTTTGTTATTTCCCTCCATATGACAAGAAGCCAGGGACCATCCCCCTCTGTTTCCAAGAAATCTATTAATGGTTATCAGGACGTGAAGGTGCTTGGCCACTTGTTAAAGCAAGTTTTAATTTGACTGCTCACAGAAAAAAAACAATCATAAAAGAAGAGATAACAGACGTTTAAAAAAAATAAAACAGTAAGGAAGTCTGCTTTAGAGAAAACCAGTCTTTCTTTTCTTTCTGAATTGCTGCATGGCCAATTGATTTAAAACATCTGCCAGCTATAGATTGAGTGTCCCAGAACAATTTCCTGGCAGTTGGCTTTGCTTCTGGGCTGTGAGGTATTTCTTTAAACAACCTAGAGGAAGGTTAGTGACCAATTTATTAAAAATTGATTTTGAGAGAGGAGGTAGAAGCTTCAGAAAAGGTTTGAAATGTGTTCCAAAGATTTTAGACAATGTCCCCTGAAGTAAAAAGCCTTTCATTCACTCAGAGCCCCAGCAGGGAAAGGAACGAAATCTCTCCTTCCCTCCTAGCTGAGCTCAGAGTCTCTCCTCAGGGGCAGGATCTTGCCTGAGCAGAGATAACCCTATTTTGTGAATGTATTCATCTATTTGACACTCAAGAAAAATGATTACTGGATGGTGCATGATGGAAGGATTGGGGGCTCATTCATTCATTCATTCATTCATTCATTTGGAAATCAACTGTGAGGTTAAGTGGCCACCATTTGTAGCTGTTTCAGAGTTGAGTCCACCTTACCAGAGCCCAACTCTCCGCAGCTGATCTCCATTGTATTTTCAAGGCTGTTGTTACTCTGGTACTACATGAATATCTGAGGCAGGTAAAAGGGTAGCCCTAAGTTTAAAAGGTGCTTGCAAATAAAACCCAGTTTAAATTGGCAAGGAATAGTCTTTAACATTTGAATCAACAGAGGCAAGAATTGGGAGTACCCTTTAATATTTGAATGAAACTATTGTGCTTTCTGAGTGCAACCTCCGTTCCTCCCCAGACAGTCCCTGAGGAATTACAGAATGGCAGAGGCTTTGGTTACGTGGTAGCCTTTCGGCCACATGGCAAAATGATCTGGATGCTGACAGTGCTGGCTTCAGCTGATGCCTCCAGATACGTGTTCAGGAATGAGAGCGTGCGTCCATTCTCTCCCTTTGAGGTTAAAGTGGGTGTCTTCAATAACAAAGGGGAAGGCCCTTTCAGTCCCACCACATTGGTATATTCTGCTGAAGAAGGTATGGTTCAAGTTACCTTGATATTTCTTCAATTCTAAATGGTGTTGCTTTCAGTATATACGATCAACTTAAGGTGTAACATACATATAAATCAAAAGGATATGAGCATTACAGACAAGTACAATATAAAAACATTGGCTCACAATCTACCATATGTTTTCTGTGTGTGTTTCTCTGTCTTTCTATGTTTCTCTGTGTCTCTCCCCTCTCTCTGTCTCTCTCTGTCTCTCTCTGTCTCTGTGTCTTTGTCTCTGTCTCTCTCTCTCTCTCTCTCTCTCTCTCTCTCTCTCTCTCTCTTGCTTTCTCTCTCTCTTTCTCAAGAACACAAACACTGGTTATGTATGTACACTCCAGTAATCCCAGAATATGGGAGGTTGAAGCACATTAGCTAGTTTGAGACTAGCAGCCTGGGGCACATATTTTAATGTCTCCAAAACAAGAAAAACTCATTTACAACTCTATCATATATGAAAAGGCTCTCTACCAATTGATTACATTGCTAAGGACCAATCAATCAAGCTTGTAAATGCCCTGTATTATCTTCAGATACATTTTTCTATGTGTCTATTATCTACCTGTTGATACATAAATACCCTGTACCTATGTGTTATCATTATTTTTAAAGAATCATATTTTATCCCTTTAGGCAAATATCAAAATAGAATATTTCCCTCTCTCCTAAATCTTGTGTTTTAAGCCATTTTGCTCTGTCTCTCACTTCATAGGAGAGGAAATCATGAAGCAGCTTGATTCCCATTCACAGTGCTGTAATGTTCAAGGGTCCTTGCACATTATTTGCATCTTCCGAGAGGGTCCTGCATTCAGAATGCCTCTCGAGTCCTCAGTATTCTCGGAGCTCACCATTGTTGTTGTAATGATGATATTCAGAATTAAATCACAAGACAGCATCTGACAGTTGAGACATTAGTTTGGAGTCATCAAGGAAACTACATGTTCTCTTCCTTGTGGAGAAATGATTCCCATAGAGGTGGCAGCCATCCATAGCCTCTCCCCTTCCTCTCTGTTGATTCTCACAGTTTTCCCCTGCATACTACATACTACAAACACATGCAAAAGACTGGGAAGGATCCAAACCAAATCTGTCCCCTTGCTCATGTTTCTGCATTTCCTGTTCTCTGTCTTACTCATGTTATAAATCCCTACTTATTCTTCTGGCCTCATCTTGAACAGCAAAGGTTTTCTGTGATTCCCTAGGCCTGCTACACGGAATAGGTGTTTGTTTATGTCTCGCTTCTTGAGTATCATTTATAGCCATAATATTTATAGCATCTGCATTTTTTTGCTGTGATAATGTTCATGACAACATATTTAAAGTTTTGAAATTTTGGTATATATTCTCATGAAGAGCAGTGTTTCCTAAGGATGGCTGATGTTTTCCCCTGTGTATCAAGTGACATTTTAAAAATTCTGAATTAACACATAAGTAGACACTTATTGTTATGTATAAATAGAGATGTCCATGTCCAATGTTTTCTGGAGTATGCAATGTAGAGGAGTACACAAATTGACACTACATTATAACAGATAAATGTGTTAGCTTTAGGAGGAGCTTTATTATAGCATGTATTTGGGATTAAGAGAATGAAGATGGCACTTTTATCTATCAGTAATGGGTTCCTGGAACAGATGAAGTTTTAAAAGCATCAAATAGTTATGTACTGATTTGAATTACATTGTAGAAAGAACATAGCTACCCAAGGTAAAACTTTGTGAATGTTATTATTTAAGTCATGGCTAAACTAGGTTTTTTAGTACAGCAGAATATTAAAAGAAAATTTTATATACAAATGGTGTACACGTCGCATAAAAACCTGGCAAAAGCAACTAGAATGTGAGAAACTATTGGTTCAGTCTACCATTTGCATTAGGGATTACTGTCCCAGAAACTGTAAATGACTTGTCTAGGGTATGAGAGATTACCTTATAACACTGAACCACCATGCAACTTTCTTGAATTGTAGTCAATTCAGTTAACAATGCTTGTTTCTCTCTCACTTGTTTTCATAATCCAGCAACTGAGACTGTAACTCAACTATGAAAGAGCCATCTGAACAAATTGCTGACTATGAAAGCTTTTTGCTAAACTTGTCCTTGGGTCACTTTAGTTCCATTTACTGCAGTGTAGAACTTTGTAAGACTTCAGAAGTATCTCTTTTCTTTTTTAACTATCACACTACAGATTATAACTGTTTAGCTGGGAGAGCGATTGTGTGTCTCGAAAGTATGAAGGACATATGGCTATGGGTGCTTTTCACCCATTTTGAGAAGCCTATTGTGATGAAGATTACTCAGTAGTAAATTTTTCTGAATTTATTTGCAGAACCTACCAAGCCACCAGCCAGTATCTTTGCCAGGAGTCTTTCTGCCACAGATATCGAAGTTTTCTGGGCCTCCCCTATTGGGAAGAACAGAGGACGGATTCAAGGTTATGAGGTAAGATAGAGACCAGTGCATTTGTTCTACATATCTTGGTGAGACTTCTAAGGCACATTCACTGATGGGAGAAGACCCACATTGCCTTGCACAGGTATCTGTTCTAGAGGCCTAGTTCTACTACACCATTAATAGAAGAAGCATTGAAAAATCTACTGTGAGATCACCCTTTACCTATGTTTATGCTCAAGTTTATTATTATATTTCTCTCTCTTTCTTCACCTAAAGATGTGCAATATAGTTGGTAAAATGAATGTGATATGCCTGTGGGAATAGGAAAATGGCATTAGAAGTCAAGAGTGTTCATTGCTCTTACAGAGGATCTGAGTTCAGCTTCCAGCATCTACCCTAGGCAATTCAACAACTGCCTGTAACTCCAGCTCCAGGGGATCTGATGCTCTCTTCTGGCCTTTGTGGTTACATATATTCACATGTGCACATGCACACATACACACACACATACACACACACACACATACACACACACATACACATGCACATGCATAATTTTTAAAAATCTTTAAAAATATTTTGTTGTAATGTTATATGATTATAATTACCTGAACGCAAAACAAAGGTGGGGGAAATGACAGAAATAGCCATTGATGATTTTCCATATGGGCCATCTCAGTGGGGAAATAAGACAAAAGATTTCTTACTGTGGATAATTTTGCAGATCATGTGGATCTCCTTGTTCTAGAAGCTCTGTCAATGAGTTAACATAGAAATTTACCTCCATCATAAGAAGGTGCATAACAATATTATTACCTCATGACATTGGAGGTATCCCCAGTGGATATAATTTCCAAGGTCATTCTTTTTGTTTTCTCAGGTAAAATATTGGAGACATGATGACAAGGAAGAAAATGCTAGAAAAATACGAACAGTTGGAAATCAGACATCCACAAAAATCACCAACTTGAAAGGAAGTGCTCTGTATCACTTATCTGTCAAGGCATATAACTCAGCTGGGACAGGACCCTCCAGTGCAACAGTCAATGTCACAACCAGAAAGCCACGTAAGGACAGAGTTGCTCAGAAATATTTTGGGGATTCATCAAACATACTCCAAGTTCATTACCTATCCCCACCTCCCAGGGATCATTTACATACTAATTGGTATCATTATATGGATTCAAATGCACCTTAGCATTTTAACTGAACCTTTCAGAATAGCATGCCAAATTCATTGCTCTAGAGGACAGAAAGATAAATGTTTTTCTCCTCACTGGGAAGGACTACTTCTTTTAGCTATAAATGGTAGGCGACCAACTGAATCTTTTTCCATTTGCAATGCTGTATCTCGTCAGATTTCAGTGACCTTGAAGACACATATTAGTGCAATCGCCCATTAAATTGCCTCTACTCTCAAATTCTAGTAAGGGGATATTCCTCGGAATCCATTGAGATTTAATAATCTGTGACTTCGTCTATCTTAATTTTTTTTATAGCACCAAGCCAACCCCCTGGAAACATCATATGGAATTCATCGGACTCCAAAATTATCCTGAACTGGGATCAAGTGAAGGCCCTGGATAATGAGTCAGAAGTAAAAGGATACAAAGTGGGTAATTTCTTTTTGCAAGGACACCTAATCCTGCTGTTAGCAGGAAGGGAGTCTGCCTGGCAGCAGCAGATGCTCCATTTTCTCATTCATCCCTGATGGGCTTCCCTACTGAACTCTTCCCATTCAGAAATCTCTACCCTAAAGTAGACTCATCTAAACTTTATGTGTCCCATGGCTTAACTTCTCAGGACTTAAGCTATCACCTGGGTGAGCCAGTCTTTCCTTTCTCTTGTAAATAACCCAGATAATCAGCTTGGAAAAGAAAAGAAAGACTTAATTTGGTTTGTATTTGAGGAAGTTTCAGTCCATGGGTTAACTGTTCCTTTTGGAACTCTACCACAGCAATATATCTCGGCAGGGAGGTGTGGTACATTGTGGCCAGGATGCAGAGAAAGGGAGAGAGAGAAAGAGAGAGAAAGAAAGAGAGAAAGAGAGAGAGAGAGAGAGACAGAGAGAGACAGAGAGAGGCAAAGAGACAGAGAGAGGATGAGTGGGGGAGAGGGAAAGGGAGTGGGAGAAGGAGAAGAGGAGGGGAGACTAGGATTTCATTCTTCAATCCCCTGCAAGAGCACTCACAAAGTCTACCCTTTGTAGATTCCACTATCTCCAGGTAACACTACAGGCTGGAGATCAAGCCTTTATCATATAGACTTCTGGGGAACAGGTACACAAGCTACAACTTCATATAAATATTAGGTTTATATAACCTAGATCAGAAATTGTTAAAGGCTCTGTGATTGGGACTCTTCTAAATCCCCCCAAAACAGCCCTTTACCATTTGCTTTTGGCAGCTTGGCTTTATTTTCTCAGTGTGTGTGTGTGTGTGTGTGTGTGTGTCTGTGTGTGTCTGTGTGTGTCTGTGTGTGTCTGTGTGTGTGTGTGCATGCGCGTGAGCATTCAGTGTATCTACGTGCACATGAGTACATGTGTGTGAGTGTTTAACTAACATTACTAACTTCCCAATGTCACTTTCAATCTTGCTCTTGTTTCTGTAGAGAGCTTCGCTATAAGAGAATTGGCTGAAAATATTGTCTGCCAGATATATAAATGCTGGCCTGTCTTTGAAATGAAAACACACACACACACACACACACACACACAGAGAGAGAGAGAGAGAGAGAGAGAGAGAGAGAGAGACAGAGACAGAGACAGAGACAGAGACAGACAGAGACGTGCATGCAAGCATGCCCCTGGTTATCTTATGGAACTAGGGTTTCAGAAAGCTGTGATCTGTCTGATATGGAAGTGAACTCAGGTCTTCTATCAAAGCAGTACCTATACCCTTGATGCCTTTGACTAAATGTAAACTTCCATTGTCACTGAAAATTGGGCTAAAATATAATTTTATAGTCTTTGCTTGGCCAAAATAGGCAGGGCCAGTGCTTAGCATCCCTAAGACAAGTCACATATGTGTGACTTTCTCACCAGGAATGGCTTTGCAAAAGCTAGAGTGCAGCCAGAGATCACTCAATCCGTGAGACTTTCCCCATGGGGGAACTTTGGCTTTCATACAGTGTGGCCATCTCAGGTAGCTGAACCTCTGGTAGGGCCCTTAGCTTCAGTGGAAGGGGACAGTGAATAAAAGCTATGTGTCCTTTTTAAAGCTAAGGATGAAGCTAGCTGCTGTGAGGCCAGCTCAGATTTAAAGGATGAGGGTGGAGAAGACATGTGCAAGAAATAGTTTATCATCCCTACATGAAGGGTACTGAGTGTGTAAGGAATAGCAGACTTAGCTGTCTCCAAATGTGTAGGTCTGATGAATCTCTGAGTAGACCACAACCAGGAGTCTGGCCCCAACCACTGCAAGGAATGAAGGAAAAAACTGCAGATGTTTAATTGGAAGAAAGAAGAGTTCTCAGAAGCGTAATACTTCAAATATGTAAAGAGACTTGACTAATAATGAGTAAATTGTTCCAAATTCTGTGTGGCTACTGAAGATGTTGACTACCAAGCGTTTCTCCTGGAGAAAAATTCAAAATTGTAGACTTTGTTTTATAATCTTCCTTAAATAATGGAAACCATGTAAGAGTTTATTTAAGTAGACTTGCAAAATTACAAGGAAAATAACTTTTTTTCCCTTTAATGGATTACTGTAAAATCACTAGCAGTCAAAGGCATGTCAACATAGCCATGGTGATAATAGTTTATCAAAAGCCTTGCAAAATGTCACTATTTCAAAGGATAGATGTACAGGAAAATGCCCTTAAGTCGACTAGTGCACTGGACTTTCTTCCTTGACATCTAAATAGAACATGGCATAGCTAATGCTTACTTCCAGCAATGGAGAAGAATCCATCTTCCTTTGCACTAGGTCCATTATTGAACAACTTAGCTTCCAAAAAGTACAACTGAGCCAAAATTTATCTTCCATAGTCTTATTCCTTTGAGTCCTGGGGCACAATTCTAATGGACTTTAAGCTTGTTTTCAGGCTGCTGCCAAAATAAAATAACAGGAAGAGGAGCTGCCCAAAGTATTTGAGGCAACCAGGAAAAAGGTTAGAGATCATTTAGTAAAGCTCCTTATTTCATATATATGAAATAAGCTCATCCATACGTCTGTTGGAGTGCACCTTTCTTAGGTGCAAGGAGCAGTTAACATGTTGAGATTTGCTGAATGGTAACAATTATTACTTTGTTGGTGGTCAGTGCTTTGTCACCTGCTTCTCACAAATGCTCACACAAGATTCTCATTGTAAAGTTTTCCCAAAAAGGCCACCTTGAGTATATTGCCCCTTCAGACACATTTGCAGGCATACAAATTCGTCCAAGTACTATATACATCATTCAGGGAATGTGAGGGGAAAAGCAGGCCAAGAGAAATATAAGAACATTTGCTTTAGCAGAAGAGGCCTGTTGTTCTTCCTATAGGATTTTGGGAAACTATTTTTACGTCTGTAGTAATAGAATGAAATGTGGGAGTAAATGAAAACTAGGGCATTTAGTTCTCTTTCTGATTGAAATATCAGATCAAATGAGGTTATCCTTTAGGGCATTAGGCATATCATTTATATCTTTTAGATTTAGAATTTGAGAATATAGAAACTGCTGGCACAGCTGATCCAATATTAGGAGGAAGGTTATTCTTGTGAATAAGAGAAAGAAAATATCCAGAGGCATCTGAAAAATTCCAGAGAGAAGGAAGCAGACTGGACATAGCCAGGTTTAGGGAAAAAGGAGAGCAGCAGAAAGTGAGGATGTGGAGCAGACAAATCATGAGGATCATAAAGAGGATAAATGGCTTTGGGCCAGGGAGAGGCCTAGAGAGCTAGCATGGATTTTGGAAGACATAACAGGTATTTGTGATACTGAAGGAGACTGGAGGCCAATATGCTGATTGGTGCCACAGGTAGCAATATGTCCCATCTGCCAGTGGTAAGGGAAATGAGTCCTTTTGACAGATGGGAATCAGTTTCACAAGTTCCAAAGGAATGCTAGGTTTTATCTAACTTCTAGAAATCTTTCTGTAGTCCAGCTTCTGCTAATTTCTGGATATATGGACACCCTGAGACCTAACAATCAGATTTGAAGAATAATCTCTGGTCTCAGTCTGGTAAAATAAATCACCCATGCAAATAAGTGAATTAAGGTGAGGGAGCTCATTCAACAAATACTCTAGACATCTATCCAAGGTTCTTAACTATTATTATTATTACTTTTATTTTTTTTACAGTCCAGACATTGACCCCCTCCAGGTCCACCCTTCCATAGTGGGATGAGGATCCCATTCCTCCTCCCAACTGTCTTCAAGAGGATGTCCCCTACCCTCCAAGCATCCCCATTCCCTAGGGCCTCAAGTCTCTTGAGGGTTAGGTACATCTTCTCCCACTCAGGCCAAACCAGTAAGTTCTCTGCTGTTTTGAGTCAGGGGCCCTGGACCAGCTCATGTATGCTGCCTGGTTGGTGGCTCAGTGTCTGAGAGATCTCAGGGGCTCAAGTTTGTTGAGACTTCTAGTCTTCCTATGGTGTCACCCTCCTCCTCAGCTTCTTCAAGCCCTTTCCTAATTTAAACACAGTGGTTCCCGAATTCAGTCCAATGGTTTGGTCTAAATCTCTTCGTCTGTCTCAGTCAGCTGTTTGTCTGGCCTCTCAGAGGACAACCATGCTAGGCTCCTGTCTGCAAGCATACCATAGCCTTAATAATACTGTTGAGCCTTGAATCCTCGCCTTGAGATGGATCCCAAGTTGGTCATGTCAGTGGATCTCCTTTCCCTCAGTCTCTTCTCCATTTCTGTTCCTTCAGTTGTTTTAAAGAGGAACAATTCTAAGTTAGACTTTTTGACTGTGGGATGGCAACCTTATCATTCCACTTGAAGCACTGTCTTTCTACTAGAGGGTGGCATTTCACCTAAGTCCTGAGTCTCTGGCCTCAGGTCTCTGGTTTCTGGTACTTTCTAGAGCCCCCTCCCAACCCAGCCTCTCACCCCACCGGGTTGCATATTTCTATTCCTCATGCTGGCCCTCAGGGCTTCTCTCCTGTCTACCCCTCCATACCTGATCTTGTTTCCCTTTCTCCTTTCTCCTTCCCCCTTTCCCCTTCCCCCTCCCTTCTCTCACTCAAGTCCATCCCTCCTTCCCTCTGCCTCCCATGATTGTTTTCTTCTCCCGCCCAAGGGGGATTGGAGCATCCTCACTTTGGCCCTTCTTGTTAACCTTCTTTAGTTCTGTGGATTGTATCCTATGTATTCTGTACATTATTGGCTAATAGCCATTTATTAATGAATGCATACTCTATGCATGTCCTTTTGGGCCTGAGTTACCTCACTCAGGATGATATTTTCTAGTTCCATCTATTTGCCTGCAAAACTCATCATGTCCTTGTTCTTAGTAGCAGAGTAGTATTCCATTGGTTAAATGAACCACATTTTCTGTATCCTTTCTTTGGTTGAGGGACATCTGGGTAGTTTCCAGCTTTTGGCTATCACACATAGCCAAAATGAACATAGTGGATAAGATGCCCCTGTGGTATGTTGGGGTATTTTTGGGGGTATACACTCAAG